CCGACGATCGTCGTAATATTCCTTCCGATATCCTATCCTTCTTTTTTTTTTTACGAGACCGATAAATACGGCCAGCTAATAATAATAATACTTCGTTCGTAGAGGATGAAAACATTCGCGGAACATTCGGAATTGTTGAGAGTCGCGTGATGAAACGCGTGAGCAGACTTGTCCACGATAAACGTAAAAATAAAAAAATGAACGATAAACTTTGCCCCCTTTTGTAAATGAGTTGATAAATAATAACGAGCGACGATTAATAATAACAATAATAATAATAATAATAATAATAATAATAATAACAATAATAATAATAATAATAATAATAACAATAATAACAAAGTTTGTTAAGCGGTTAAAGGAAAAACACGATCGTGTTCCGCTCGCTCGATCGTTTGCTTGCTCGCGTCCCGAAATCGACTACCGGTCCACGTCGGTTCACGATATACACAGCTCACGAATATAGCTCTACGTCTTCGGATAACCCCTCCAGATGATAAATTAACGAATAAACAACAAGATAAGGAACGCGTACTCTTTGTCGAGGTACTTAGTCGGGACTTTCCTATTTTTGTAACTTCGTCCGATCGGCTTATTGAAATATTATTTATTTCTTTTATCGTTATTTGCCGATTATTCCATTGTTATAGAGAGAAAGATTTTATATATGTATATATATGTTGAATGAAAAGTGTTGATTGGATTTGAACAATTTATTAATAATAGAAGATGATCGCGTTAGATCGTTACGCAATCGAAACTTCGATAAAATATGTGCAGTTTTATTTATTATTTGTATTGATCGGGAATTATCGCGAAAGATTGCATCCGCTCTATATCTATTGCCCAATTGGAGATAATTTCAAATTACGACGAATAAAGTTGCATACGAATAAAAACGAAACGAAACTTCTTTGATCGCGTCATCGCGCCAATCATCGGATGGATATTATTGGATATTGAAATTCTAATCCCCTTTGCAACTTCCATTCCATTATTGGAACAAGCTGATCTAATTTCCCTGTCCACGTTAATCATTGTTCTTAATTGATCGTTCACATAGCGTTTTACAATTCGAAATTGGCCGTAATTCAGTTCCAATTCCAGTTTATCAAAAATTCCTTCCGAATATCGATCATCGGCGAGCAACCGAAGATTTTACTTGTCAGATCGTTGAAAAGGAACTACATTTTTTTTATTCAACCTCTTCGTTTATATTATAGATTTTGAATTATCAAAAACAATTTCTGAATGATCGAAGAAATCGGTTTTCATAAAAGGGTTCGATTAGAAAAGAAATCTTTTAGTCGGTCTTACCTTCGATATCCTTGGAAGAAACTGTCCTTAGCGATCAAGGGGGGAGCGATTGGGAATGGAGGAGAGGGGAGGGCGTGAAAATTGACGCGTATTCTCCTCGCGAAACGTCGTATTTCCCTTCGATTGCTGATGCAAGCGTAACGATGCCTGTTCGCAACGCACGGCTGATAGAAAACGGCTGAAAAAAGTTGTAATGTTCGCTCGAAAAGTTGCATGCATTTCTTTCACACCCTCGTTTCCGGCGAAAAAAAGAATCGAACCAAGTGCATCGATCTCGGCGATAGAGAAACGATAAGAGATTTGTAGACGATGCTTGTACTTTCCCAAGTGGAAAAGTGAGATCATTACTCGATCGTGGTTATCGCGTCGATGACGCGTGGGTTATATTCGCAGTAAGAACTACGAGACAAAGCGTGTTCGAATTGTAATTTCACTTCGATTCGAGAATTTCTCTCTCTCTCTTTCTCTCTCTCGTGAAATCTGTCGCGTTAAAAATCTGTGCCGAGATCTCTGGATGGATGGATGGATGGATGAATGAATGGAGACATTTATTCGCAGGGAGAAAATGATAAAAGTTATTGTTGACAGCTGCTGTACATTCTTCTTATAATATCCTGTCCTGTGTATATTTCCTTTGTTTATTTTTCAACTGCGTATTTCAATTTCTTAAGCGGACGAAATATTTCAAAGAGGTGTAAAACGATCCCATTGGATATGATAATTTCGTCGTGACAGTTTTAAACTCCTCTTCCCCCTCCCTTTGAAAGAAATCGCGATAAATTACGTTATTTTCGAGAACGTATGAATTATTTCCTCCTACCGTTTTCGTTTTCGTAATGGAACACGCGTTGGATACGAATAAGGAAAATCTTTCCGTTTAATTTTTAAATAAAACGATAAAGAGATATATTATACGCGTATAATTAAGGAAGGCGGTGTATAAATATTTTTTCAATTATTATCAAGCCGAATTAAAAAGCACATCTTTTCTTTCTTTCTCTCTTTTTCCTCTTTTTTTACAGAACGTAATTTAATATTAAGAATTACTTGGGGACGAATTGCTTGGAGTTGTTCCACCCCAGGATACATAGTATTCCAGAAGATGAAAAAGTTAAATCTGTCGTTGCAGGGAGGGGGTTTACAAAAGATCCGAGTTATATTTACAAAGTAGGGCGAAATGGTCGCCCCGCGTTAATAAAAATAGAAAAATACAATTTTATAATTCGGTGTAAAGAGGGGGGCGCTTCGTTCAAGAGGCACTGGCGCCACGGCAGCACTCCACGATCCGCCGCCTCTCCCGCAAGAGCTCGAGAAATCTCGCCCTTGGACTCGCCGGATATCTCAATTTGTCCCTCGCTTCGACACCGGCCTCGATATCCGACCGATCTCTCGAACCGCACGTGCACCCCCTGCACCCCTGCGCCACGTCCCTGGCCCCCCATCGCGAACAATCGTCCGTTTCTTGAAATCTTTTCCACCCTTGCACGGGAGAATTTCCTCCCCTTCCCCAATTTCTCGCCCTCGCCTCGCGTTTCGTGGGAAAATTGCAGCTGCTCCAGAGCTCGAGCTCGTCGTCCTCGTCGTCGTGCGCGAGCTCGCCGAAAATCGCGCGATCCCTGGATCGAGAAGAACGATCGAACGGCCTTCTCGAGGGCAACTCGTCCAAATCGTTGCAATCCACGTCGCTGTTCCTGTCCGGCATGAAACGGCACGTCCTGCCCACGGACACGTTCCCCGTAATTTCGTAGGTGGCGAAGTCTTGGCGATCCAAGTCGTTCCAGGCCGTCTCCTCGAGATTTCCCCTAACCTCTTCGTGGCGCGGTTCTTTGGTCTCGCGAAATTTGGCATTGGTGGGACTCTTGGACGTTTCGAGTCCAACGTTGGAACGTCGATATCGGATGGAATTGGCGACGTTCATCAATTGATCGAAGATCTTCCTCTCCAAATCGTCCTTGCGTTCCGCGACGCTGGAGCTACTTTTCGAACCAACTTCCCTAGTCCCTAGTTTCAGAACTTTTGATTCTTCGTCGTCGTCGTTGCTCGATGCTCGATGAGAATCCGTGCTGGGATTCGCTAGATCCGGTCTAGAGCCAGCAGATTCGCAATCGAGCCCGTACTTCTCCTTCAGCAACTCGTTGTGCCTGTCGATCCTTCGTATGCAGTCTTCCAGCCTCTGGATACCCTTCACGCACCTCTCGTACGAGA